GGGTTTGTCCAATCATGTCCTCCATTTTTCGGTAACCGAGTTTTGCCATGATTTCACGGACTTCCTCTGCCAAAAGGAAGAAATAGTTGACTACATGCTCAGGTTGTCCGGTGAATTTTCGTCGCAACTCTTCATCTTGTGTTGCAATTCCAACAGGGCACGTATTCAAGTGACACTTTCTCATCATAATGCAGCCCATTGCAATAAGAGGAGCAGTAGCAAATCCAAACTCTTCTGCACCCAGCAAACAGGCAATAGCGACATCACGGCCTGTCTTGAGTTGCCCATCAGTCTGAAGCTTCACACGATCTCTCAACCCATTCAAGACCAGAGTCTGTTGGGTCTCAGCAAGTCCAAGTTCCCAAGGGAGACCACATCCCTTGACACCAGTCCAAGCAGCAGCACCGGTTCCACCATCATGCCCGCTAATGGTGATGTGATCCGAGAGAGCTTTAGCTACTCCAGCAGCAACAACACCAACACCAACTTCTGATACAAGCTTAACAGAGACTTCTCCTGTTGGTTGGGCTTTCTTCAAATCATGAATGAGCTGTGCCAAATCTTCAATTGAGTAGATGTCATGATGAGGAGGAGGGGAGATCAAACCAACACCTGGAGTGGTGTGTCTGTTTTCGGCAATGTAATCAGAGACTTTGAAACCTGGCAGTTCTCCTCCTTCACCAGGCTTGGCTCCTTGAGCCATCTTGATTTGGATTTGGTCGCTATTCGCGAGGTAGTGCGAAGTGACTCCAAATCTACCTGAAGCAACTTGTTTGATACTGGATCGGCGATTGTCAAGGAATCGCTTTGGATCTTCACCACCTTCTCCTGTGTTCGACCGACCTCCAATACTATTCATTGCTACAGCAAGTGTCTCATGTGCTTCTCGGCTGATGGAACCAAGTGACATGGCACCTGTGGCAAATCGCTTCACAATCTCAGATACAGGCTCTACTTCTTCCAAAGGGATAGCCTTAGAAGGATCAAACTTAAATTTCAATTGGCCACGGAGGGTAACCTTTTGATTTTGCTCGTTGGTCAATCGGGCAAACTCTTTGTATGCCTCCCGAGAGTTAGTTCTTCCAGCAATTTGAAGGTTTACCATTGTAGCAGGTGTGTTCAAATGAGCTTCTCCACCATCACGATAGTGGAATTGTCCATCACTTCGCACCAAGATTGATTCTTCAGTTGTGTGAGGAGGAAAAGCGTCTGCGTGGAATCGCTCAAGATCACGATAGATGGCTTCGAAGTCTGTTCCTTGAATACGGGTAGTGGTTCCTGTGAAGCACCTATCCACAACCTCATCAGCAAGTCCAACAGCTTCAAAAACCTGTGCTCCCTTGTAACTCTGCAATGTAGAGATACCCATCTTACTCATTACCTTCAAAAGACCCTTTGCAGCAGCTTTGCGGTAGTTTTTCATGATTTCCTCATCAGTGAATTCTTGCTTTGCCATTGCTTCCACCATACCATCAGCATTCATCTTACAGATGGCTTCGTATGCCATGTAAGGACAAACACCATCGCAACCATATCCAAAAATGGTGGCATAATCATGAACCTCCTTTGCATCTCCTACTTCGGCAAAGATAGCAGCCTTTGGTCGCTGCCGAGTGCCAATCAAATGGTGGTGGACAGCACCAACAGCCATTAGAGAAGGTAACGCCATGCGATCAGGGCCAGCAAATTTGTCAGAAAGAATGACACCTTGGACTCCCTTCTCTCCAAAGTTTCCTCCTTGAATGGCATCGGCAGCTTCGTCGCAGATGCGTTCAAGAGCAGCCAACATACCATCAACGCCGCTTCCGACAGGGAAGGTAATGTCAACGGTGGCACATTTGAATCGCGATGTACCATCAGGAGCTTTGTACTCATTGTTCTTGAGAGTAGCCATTTCTTCCAATGTCAAGACAGGGTGACGAACCACAAGTCGCTGGCTATGTTCTGGACCAACATCTGCCAAAAGATTTCCCTCTGGACCAACTGGACATACAAGACTCATGACAATTTCTTCTCGGATGGGATCAATTGGTGGATTTGTCACTTGAGCAAACAACTGCTTGAAATAGTCATTAACTTGACGAGGATATTCAGACAAAACGGCTAGGGCTGCATCATTTCCCATGCTTCCTAGGGCTTCCTTTCCTCCAATGGCCATAGGAAGAAGCAACATTTCCAGCTTTTCACTACTGAATCCAAACATATTCAACTTGCGATTGGTCACATTGAAATCCATTGGGTCGGGAATAGATCCGCTCTTCTTGGCCCAAGCGGTAAGGTCCATCATTCCTTGCTGTACCCACTCGCTGTATGGTCGTTCAGATGCTATTTGTTCCTTGATTTCATCATCAGGGACAATTCGTTGTGTTTCAAAGTCAACCAAAAACATTTTTCCAGGTTCCAGTCGATGTTTGACTTTGACCTCCTCTTCGGGCAGTTCTGGACAGACACCAATTTCAGAGGACAGAATGACGTGATCGTCCTTGGTGACATAGTATCGAGATGGACGAAGCCCATTTCGATCTAAAGTGGCTCCAATGTAACGAGAGTCTGTAAAGGCTACCATTGCTGGTCCATCCCAAGGTTCCATGACACAGGAGTTGTATTCGTAGAATGCTTTTTTGGATTCCGACAAGTTGTCATTATCCTGCCAAGCTTCGGGGATCATCATCATAACACTCTCTGGAAGAGATCTATTGGAAGCCTTGGTCAAGAGTTCCAACACCGAATCAAAATTACCAGAGTCACTCATGTTGTCAGAAACAGCAGGGAGCAAGAAAGACGTGTCATCACCAAAGATCGGAGATTCCATGATTCCGCCTCGACTGTACATCCAGTTCTTGTTTCCTCGAAGAGTGTTGATTTCACCATTGTGACACATCATACGGATGGGTTGGGCACGTTCCCAGGATGGAAATGTATTGGTAGAGAATCGTGAGTGAACCAACGCCAAATGGGACGTAAAGGTAGGGTCCTGTAGATCCTTGTAGTATTGCGAGACTTGTTCAGGTGTCAGTTGTCCCTTGTAAGTGATGTGGTTGGTGGTGAGAGAGTTGATGTAAAATCCTGATTCCGGTCCGAGCATGTCGGTCGCTTCCTCCTCTGCAAGCTTTCGCACCAAAAGCAATTCTTGTTCAAAGACTTTACGATCCTTGGTCTTGTTTCCCATGGTGATGAAGATCTGTTCGGTGATTGGTTCGCTATCTAGCGGTTCTTTCCCGAGCATGGAATTGTCGACTGGGACAGGTCTCCATCCGACAGTTGCCAAACCGCGTTCTTTGACGAACCGTTCCATGATTGCCTTACAGTCTCCCATGATGGATTTGGTGTCACTGCCAGGAGGGAAGAAGACATTGGCCACTGCATACTGACCCATTGGGGGGAGATCCACCCCAAACAATTCCTTGGCTTTGGTACGCATGAACGAGTCTGGCATTCCAAACAACATTCCTATTGGCCAAAGAGCATACGTTTGTTAGCAAGTAATGGATAGTCGGGTGAACAAGAACGAAAGAATCAAAGAACGCCACGTAGTTGAAGAATCATACAACGAATCCTGTTTGTGTACTACTCACCTGCTCCGTCTCCCGAGGCTGGGTCGCAACCACAGCCACCGCGATGAGCCATTCGTACCAACATTTCATCAGCAACTTCAACAACGTGTCGTGAAGGGATCGATTTCAAGTTGGCAATAAGACCTACGCCACAATTCTCCTTTTCATCGTTGGCGTTGTACAAAGTTTTGGTCTCGTCCACCTTGGAGTTCCTCAATCGCAACACCTGTTCGGTGCTGTAGTAAAGAGGTCGCTGGTACATCCATAGCGACGAAGAAGACTGCAATTTCAACGCCGTTGGGACAAGGCGACGATTCCAACGAGAATTGGAGAGTGAACTGTGGGATCGTCGCGCCGCCGACTTGGACGAATTTGCCGCCGAGGCCGACGAAAAGGTCACACCGTTACTACTAGTACCGTTGTTGGCACACCGAAGCGCATGTTTGGCCACTTTGGTGCGAGAGGATGTTGAAGACATCATCTTACTTCCATACAAGACACCGCTTGATCTTTTTAAAAAAAGTGTGAACTACGAAGAGAGTGAAAAGGGTAGGCGTGGCGACTGAAAAAAGGCCTAGTCGAATTTGCGGCGAAGCTGATGATTTTTGCGTGTTGGGCTGTTGATGTTGTTCTTTTTTGCAGAAAAAAAACAGAGATGGAATCATCAGACGACGACAGGATTTGGAAGCAATACTCAACTACCCCTACCGTAGGTAGCCAGATACAGTAGTACGTCGTAACAAAGTCATGGGTACACGACGCAGTAGGTACTCCTGGTAGTGCTACTACGTACCACGTTGTAGTTGTGAATACCGAAATTCTTTGGCCGAGCTTCGCTTCCGTATCTTTATGGTGCCGCGGCCAGACCGCATATTCTTTTCCGACTAGGTACACTGCATTTGCAAACTTCCCGTAGTTTAAAGCGTACTTTTTTGTGCGGTCGATAATTGGGGGCAGGTATGTATGATACCGAAATTTGAATATTCAACGGGGGATGAGGTCCCGCGATTTCCCAGAGATGACTTGTTGTCAAACCTACTGAGGTACGAAATGCATACGGTAGGGCACCAGTGTAAGGTAGCATGTTGTAGCACGAAAATCTTACTGTACCTTTGAAGAATATGAAGTCAAAGGCATCGTCGTCAGATTGGTCACCAACAACGACGCCGAGCGCTTTGCGCCAAATACTAGTACTTATGTTTACTACTACAGTTGGTTGTTATGGAGGATGGACTTGAAGAATGAACTTGCAGAATGATGTAGTGAATCATTCCATATGCTCCTTCGTCGTCGACACACCATCAGGCCTTGAAATTACTTCCCCATGTGATGCTTCGATTGATTTCCGGATTAAAAAAAAATCTATCCAGCCAGGGATCCTCTACTCTAATTTGGCGTGAAGCAACTCCGTAGCGTTTCTTGTGCCGTTGACAAAAGGAAAGCACATGCATCTGCCGAGAATCGAACTCGGGGCATCCGCTTGGAAGGCGGATATTTTACCACTAAACTACAGAGGCGCTAAGTTTGTGACTCTTCATATGACCATTGACATGAACTAATTATAAACTGTAATACGACTCATCTTCCAAAGGCTGGCTTCTCGGTTTGTCTCGAGTTGAAAAATGAAATGGGACCAGTCTAAGGTAAACGACATGCCTATTTATTCAACCCCTTCGAGAACGACGTACTCCGAGTTCTCACTGTTGTTTTAACCCTCCTTTCTGATTTCATGAAGTTCCCCTCCAGCAGCAGTCTCCCCTATGGTAACTATTTTGTCGTCACTGTTGATGGCGGGTGCTTTGGAAAGGGCGATCATCGCTTCCAGGTGTGTGTTGGAGAATTTCTTCATCACCGAACCATGTCTCGCAGCATGAAAGCTTAGTCGGTGTTGTCCTTCTCCAGGTTTCTGAGCTCATCTACTGTTTCGCACATAGGGTCTGAATATGTTTGTCGCTTGGTGCTCTGATGGCTGGCAGCCTTTCGAACCCATTGATTGGTTTGCCGTAAATCATTGGCCGCATGCATGATGTGTTGTTCCATGGTGTTAGTGTGAAGACGAACTGACGGAGTTATATCTCTTCTGAAAAACGAAAATACTCAGGCCTGTCTCCATCACAATCGATGTAGCTGTCAAATTGAGTGTCGTTAGAGGGATGCATAGCCATAGATCGACAGTTACAGAGGAGGTTTATTGTATTACTTTTTTACGACATTCATAGTTGATTTACCCCTTTTCAGAATTCCGACTGCAGGGCTCGATTTGAGATAGTCGTTGCTAGTGACTCTGCCGCTTGTTGATTTTGTTTCTTGAATTATTGATGATTGATATTGTATCATGGTAAGTTGCCTTCCAGACGCAGTTTGCGCTGGTGAAAAACTTGAAAAATGGAAAAAAGTTGCGTTGCATCTGCCGAGAATCGAACTCGGGGCATCCGCTTGGAAGGCGGATATTTTACCACTAAACTACAGAGGCTCCTGCTGCTAGAGTGCAGAATTAGACATTTTAATCACTAGATTACGAATCATTACGACTGTTATCATTATTTGGGAAGGTATCACAGTCAATAAAAAATATGAGTAAAAGTACTACGAGCACAACGGTGCAACCTGCGTAGCTTTCCCAACGTCTATTCAAACCTTTTCTACAACGTACTGTCGCAATTGGAAGGTGGATGAAGGAGAGGATCAGGAGTACTATTGCATTCAGTGGTCATCTCCTTATTGTGAAAAGTTAAAAGGTGTCCTTATTAATTTGTTTTGAATGCATGGTTCTTTTTTGAAAGATCTCAAATTCTGCTTTAGCTAAAGAATTCTGCACTGTGATGAAAAAAAGAAAAATCCTTTCCCAGTCAATTGGAAGTCTTTTTAAAATGACCAAATGCAAAATGGGTATTCAGCAAAAGACTGGCTCTCGCATATGGTAGCGTATTTGCACAAAATAAGATGGAGGTGGTCTAAACTTAGCATTTATTTGTTCCATTCGGGATATTAGATTACGACGTAGATATCCTACCAGCAGATTTCTACGAGATCCAGTCGGAAGTCTTTCTCTTTCCAAAAGCAAACCATCAATCTACCCTCTGGCAGCGTACAAAGCGATCAATCCCAAAATAAATGGCAGTGAAATTCCGACAAGTCCAGCAATCGCGATGGGGATCTTTTCTTCGTCAGACATTTTGTCTGTGTTTCTGTAAAAACGAAAAAAAACATTCCATGAAGGGGGTATTGGACGGCGTCAGATTCTGGTATACAAGTTTCAAAAATTCAACAAAAAAGTCGGCAGAGTTCTGTCTGTCATCGTCACAGATTTCGTGCGACTCACGTTTGAAAGTAGTCCTCGGGTTCGGAATCACGGGTCAAAGCATTTCGCTCCTTGTCATCGAAAATATTCAACGGACCAACTGCGGTGGTTCGAGCGATGGCTGTCACGTGACTGACGGGTGCAAAAGCGGCCGCATTAGACGCGAGACAGGCCAGAGAAAGGAGGATGGTGACGATGAGGAGGTTGAAAGATATCATTTTCGTGGGTGGAATGGATAATGTTATGTTTTTTGGGTTTGTCGCGTATTTCGAGAGATCAAATGGCAAGCAATTGTCGCTATGATAGAGTTTGAATACAGATTGAGCGACGTTGTCGTCGTAAAAGAAATGACTGATTGCTTGAAAGGTTTGTCAATCCGTTTTTCTTGAGACTGTGAGAGCGAAGGATGTCAGTGGTCGTATTCGTAGGCGAAAGCAGGATTATTATACAGACATCACATGCGTCATCCAGTTGTCTTTTTTACAACGCGATGTGGGAAATCTCCGAAACGTTGTCTTGCGCGCACTTGGCCGAGGCGGGCAACTTTAGCACTTTAAGTACGACTTTACTGTTATTGGAGTACCCCTACCTACCTTAGGTCGTTTGTACTGCTTGAGCTTGACTGTGAAGAACTGGTACCGTAGTTAACTTCCTTCTACCGGTATTACCGGTACTCCGGTAGACCAGCTTAACATGTACGGAGTTGAATTCATTCCTACACTGTAGTATATTTCAAAGAACTTTCAAATTTCAGGAGGGATATGAATTCCAATGCACCAGCCAATTACTACTTCGGCTTCCTCTGAATCGTTGCCTTGCTTCTTTGAACGTTATGCGCGACGATCAATTTTATGCCGCGACAAGGGCTTGGCATTGACGTGAAGCGATGGCTGTTGATGAGGAGTATGCCGAGATTAACCCATCACTTTGTGGTGGCTGAAGGTGGACGTCTCAAAAAATGATTTGATTGATTGAAGACGATAAAGTATTGGTAATTGTAGCTATGGTGGTGGTAGTTGATGAAAAAATGAATCGTATCCATCATGACTGCTTTGGTGGCACTTTTCAGGAGGGTTGGGAGGTGTCACCCTGGACGTCGTTGGCGATACGAAAGATCATTGATGACGCGGAGGATGTTGTTGCGTGCGTAGAGAAAATCTATAGCTAGATCCTCGGAAGGAGAAAAGGAAAAGAGAATTGTAAGACTTGTTCTACTACTCTGAGTCGAGTCAAGCGTCTCGTTTATGATAGAAAATTCACGTGTTCTAAGCCCATCTATCGTACAAGTTGCTTTCATAAAATAAAAACAGACTGGAGGATATTGTTGAAACATTATGATACAACTGAAGAAGGGATTTTCTCCATCTTGAACACAGAAAAATTGTACCTATGGTATAATATTGCATGCGACTTGTAATTCATTCTGGGGTACAAGTTGGCTGAGACATACCATACCTTTGTCCAGCAGATCCCCACTCCTCAGTTAGACACAACCCACGCAGAGGAAGTGCGTGTAGTCTCTCGTTTCCCAACACCAAGTACCCCCGGTTCACAAGCCACTCTTACTACCCGGCATTCCTATATCACCTGCTCACATAGTGTGTTGACAGAGCAGGAATTCACGACTGACACTACTCCATGGAAGAGTTGGTATCAGATTTTATAAAGGACTGAAGTCAGGACTAGGTTACTGCTACCAGTTGAGGTGCTGGCAGGGACATAAACGATCGCTACACAGAGATAAAAGGCTAAATCGTTTCTAAATGTGAGAGGATGAAACAGTATGCCTTGCAGAGACTTTGCATGTCATACACATACCTCTTTACTAAAATATCACGCATCTGTCTTCTAAATTTCGATGCGTGTGCCTACGTCAGACGTTATGCTCCGTATGATGACGTGATCATACATATTCCAGTACGTACTTATGATATCATTGGTACAAACCCAGAAATCATTGTATCATTTCTGTCAGTTGGTCCATCTTGACCAAACCAAACCCACCAGTTCTCACCATCATCCACGCCCCTTCTACGAAAACCACTCCCCAGGGCCATGCACAATTCGAAGCACCACAGACACCACAGACTCCCACCCCAGCAACTCCAAGACATACCTCTTGGGCAGCAGTAGCGGCAGAAACTATCACCGCACTACCACCCACCCACCCAGAAACCGCATCCAACACATCATACACAGAGGCACAAATACAGGCCATCCTAGCTTCACAAGAACAGCGTCTGGATCAGAGACTAGAGCAGAGACTGGAGGAAAGATTGGCACGCTATGACCAACAACTCAATCAAATGATCACCATGCTGCAAGAACTTATAATTTCAATGCGCTCCACACCCCAAGATCCCCTCAAACCTCCCTCCCAGACTGTCCCCTCTTCTATGCGAATGCAACGACGTATCGAGCCAACTGTCACCCTTTGTCAAGGTGACAACATGTCTGCTGCACACATAGCAAAAGAAGATCAAAGCCAAATTAGGACATTCTATTATATGTCCCAGCGTCTCCACCCTTCTAAAGAACCACTTCATCCAACGGTGAAAGCAGCTCCTAGCACCGAGTTATTGCAACCACCCCCAATCACATAACTGGCCACACAAACACAAAAAAATTGGTATTACACCTTCTCATCTGATCTTCTACTCCAACAGATGAATTTTCCTCCTCCGGTAGGAGGTTTTATACTATTATTATCTCCCTTGAGTATCATCATGGTACTCCCTGCATTGCCTCGCCCCATGGGGCCCAACAGGTGATCCAACTACTTAGAGACGGCACTACCGGTAGGTAGGCCATAACTACCGGTAGGTAGGCCATAGCTAGTAGCTACGGTATGATAGTAGTTTGGATAGCCTTAAAATAGACTTTTTATGTTTTAATTCATTCTGCATTCTGGGGGAAACGAAACTCCCCTTTCTGCCCCCAAAAGACAACACAATTAATTTTTGGGGAAATTGCAATCTCGACACCGAAGCCTTATCTCGACACGGGCATTATTATCTCCACACCGTGCCACTATTATCTCGACACGGGCATTATTAGCTCGACACCGTGACACTATTATCTCGACACCATAAATTCCCCTTTGTTATTTCGACACCGTGTACGTCATTATTTCGACACCGAAAAAACCCCTCATGTTATTTCGACACCGTAAAAACCCCTCTCTTGTTATTTCGACACCGTAAAAACCCCACTTTT